GGGATATTGAAACGTCAAGCGAATTATATTATTGTCCCAGCGATCGAGTCGTCTTCTTCTCGATTATCCATCATTCTGAACTGAGAGGTGCTGATTGCAAATGCATGTTTTGGGTGCTGGGCGTGGCTAGGGGTGATGTAGATGTTGGCCAAGAGGTATATGCTACTGTAGTATAACCGTCGTTTTTCTGCCACTGCTTTTCATGGAGGCCAATGTGGCCTAATATACCCTTACGTGGGCACTGCGGCCAGTTGATTTGCGTGCAACGGACGCATTTTACGAGTGGACAAGACGTGCTAGATGTGTCGGCATCGTGGTCCACCCCGCTGTGCTGAATGCCAATGTTGTCCAAGAGCCTCACACATTGAATTAATTTGCGAAGGCCATCAGGCCACTTGAGATGGATTCGCAAGTAAATGACCAAGCTACTGCGTGATGTGAACGTGTGATTGCAATGGGGACAGATTTGGATCGAGTCTCCATTGACGGCAGTAGAATTCCGGTGGCGCTGGGATTGGGTGAACTCGTAGAATTGATGGTCGTCACTGTGGAGGTGGTAGGGGGGGCGACAGGGAGAATGCTGCCAGTGCTGGAGGCCGGTGGGGCATCGACAGTGTGATCACGCGATGGCGGAAGTGGCCTTCATCGTGGAGTTTAAAGCAAGATTACCATAAAAAATGTTTGTTGACGCAGAAATTTGTCTAATCGGAGAGTCCGAGGAGGAATTGGCGAGCATACGTATACGTTCAATACATTCTCGTCAGGCAATTACATTTATATGGGAGGGGGGGGGAGTTAAGTGTAATAAGTAAAAATAACGTTCAAAGTTACAAGCAAATTAGTCCAGGGGATAAGGGAGGCTGGAGAAATTTCAACTAAGCGATCAACTAAGCGATCAGATCCACAATTCAAAGCACTATGGTTGCTACGTGGATGATATTTTCGTGATCGCCACAGCAGAAACCGATAGAGATGCACCTTTAAACGCAGTCAATCAAGCCCATCCATCCATACAGTTCACGTTGGAGATGG